ACACACACACAGTGCCACGTCAGAGTGCAGTCAAGCCGAATGAAACAAACAAACACATTTTTAGAAAACCCAGCTACTTATCTGACAAGCAATCTCAGCTGAATATGGAAATACGGATATCAATTTGCCACGGCATAGAAATCAAAATCATTTAACCATTCGTACACAATGTAGCTTGCTAAATCAGCTTATCTTTATCTCTAGGCAGCAGAGAGAAAAAAAGACTGATAAACTGAGGGAGACTGTGTGTGTGTGTGTAGGTGTTGAAATAAATGAGCATGCAAACTGAAGGATATGGCTGAGCAGCAAGTACAGCAAAGGTGCTGAGATGTTTCACATATCTTACCTACCACATGTGAACACACAGGTTCAATTAAAAAACACGATATAATGCATTCTAAATGTATGATACATCAACATATAATTACCATGAATCATTGGTAGTCTCATAATAATATTGTGAATGTCATTATTTCTCAAAATTAAGACCCATTTCCCATAAACCCTGCTGCTTTTTGAGGATCTCTGCTTCATCATACTATCTGGTATAAAGCAAAAGAAAAAAACTAAATAAATCCTAACAGAGGGAGACTACATTGTGTTTAGCCAGGAGCTCAGCAGGAGAAGAATCCATGTTGACAGCAGGGGATTGGTTATTGCTGAGCAATGCTAAATATAAATACACTGAACTTTCTCTCACTGCTGCTAATGAGGTCTGAGAGTTTAACAGTTAAACATGAATTTCTTGCAGAGGTTCGTTCACTGATCTTGGTAAAGATGTAATTCTGCAGCACCGCTTCAAAGGCTTTTCACATTATGTCATGTACAATATTAGCCAGTCTCCTACAGTATTTAGCAGTTCTTTTTCCTTTATTGTAACCGTACAGTATAGTTCTATTACTCCTAACCATAGATCCAATTTTCTAATACACACACAGAACAAGTCACCTTCATCCCTGTATGGGAGCTGGTATGAACTTGAATATACTCTGCACCATAAACTAAACTAAACTTAAATATCAACAAACAGTGTGAATGGCTGTATCCAAAATCTCTCCCTTGTTTACTTATTTACAACTCTATACATGATACACGTGAATCTTGACTCCATAGTGAACAGTAAACTGAGCTTTCAGGCACTTATGGCAAGAATCACCATTTTGCGCATTGTGGAATAACTGAAGTACAAACTATATAGTGTGTAATGTATTTTGTGTTTGCCATTAGCGACTGATTTTCATCATAAAAAACTTTTTCTTTTGTTAGGCTAAACATTGACATAAATCGGTGTAGAGGACAAACTTAGTCAGCTGTATTTGGCATGATGTCAGTTAGGGGTGTTGCAATATGCCGACTATGATAACCCTGATATTTAAAAAATGAGATGTTAATATCATGTTAGTAATACACATATGATAATATGTGTAAAATGAATCGCAGCGTCACTTCATAATTTTAGTGGTAATTCATTTGCCATAAAGGTCATTTGAAAAAAAAAAGGAAAAAAAAGAACATACAATGATTTTAAATTACAGCCATTCTTTTCAGGTTTTCTATAGTTATTGCGCTAAAAAAAGTCTTTTGGCCACAATAATTGTGTTCTCATATTGTAAAAGCCCTAAATTGTCAATTTATCTGTAACTGTGAACTGTACCTATTCAACACAGTAGGAGGTGTCAGTTGTAGGTAGAGATCTGGTTTCATGACCTGAAGAATCTACAATTATTAAGATCTTAAAATCGTTGTGCATTGAATTAGAAAAAACTCATTTCAATTAGGACAGCAAGGATATAAAACAGAAGGAGAGTAGGATGTTGTTGTGTCAGAGCAAGGGTACGATTGTAATGGAATTATAGTTAAACTCGGAGGGGCAGTGTGTGGGATTAGAAGAAAGGTACAGGTGAATAATGAAGGTTTGGCAAAAAGAATACAAAAAAAAAATACACAAGATGGGTATCAAGAATGAGCAGAGTGAGGTGAAAGTACGGGACGGTTCACCATGGATATCTCATGGAGACACTGATTAATATATAAGCAGCTCCAGTATAGAAAACTATACGGGTAGGTTTTGTTAAACGTGTGCATCCATGGAGACTACTTTGATTACATAAGCGCTCAACTTCACCAACCAGCTGGGATGTACTGGATATACACTTTGTAACTCTTATGGTCGCCTCGCTATTGGGCTGGGTTTACGTTACATATTATAATGCTACTCTCTGGCACGATTTTGGATAGGATGTAAGACAGATAGGACTATGCCTTTAAATACTTTGAGTTTAACTTCGCATACAATGTGTAAAGCCCAGTTTCGCTCCAGCACTATGCACTTGATGGTGTTGGTAGTCTGTTATGTGAATCCTGTCTGGGTTAAATTTTAACTTCGACCTGTGGGCAAAGAACTCTGTGTGAAATCGCAGAGGTACATGCATATTTCGTTACCTAGCGCGAATATTCCTAGGGTACACTGCAATTTCAGAGCTACCATTCTTAGAGAATTGCTGTGATTCCATGCTTGGGAACCGGTCGGGGAAGAGTCTCCCTGCTCTCCATCACACAGCCAAAACAACTCGGGGGGTCTTTCTTCACGGGTCACCAGGCACTATCTCTACACACACACACCACACATTCACATCACACACACACACACACCACACACACACACAGCAGTCAGAATGACAGAAGTCATTTTCTATCGTCCATCATAGACTGAAAACTCATCTTGTCAAAAATTGCCTCGTATTACCTTCCTCCAGCTGAATCGTGTCACTTCTCCACTCACTTTTACTTCTTTCACAAGAACATTGTCAGGGATTGAAAAGTGTCTCTGGCTTTGACCCATGATTACTCTTAAGAACCTGTCATTTTGATGTTTTAGGACTTTCACTTTTTCACTCCTACTGTACGGTTGCAATCACTGAAAATCACTTGGTACTGAAGCGTCAGCTAAACTAACATTAAAGAAGAAAAAACTCTGTCTCGCTTCAGAATCCCGTACATGCTCATAAATAGGACCAACGGCTATCTCCTCACTTCCAAAGCAATGAATAATTTAGCCAGCCCCGCTCTCTCTGTGTTCCTAATGTAAACACAAAATAAACAAACCCGACCGCGTGAAGCTATTATGCTCAAAATGTCATCCGGCGGTTGCTGAATCCCCATGGGACTAGACAGAGATCCCTCAGGCCCCAGCAGACCGGGAGACAAGAGGAGGGGAGATTTCCCTTTACTGTTTGCTGTGCCAGGTTTGTCCTTGAAGTTCACAGCATTTCTTTACACCACATGAAGCTGCTACTTGTCCCTTCAAATGTCAATCAATACCATTTTTCATTGTCTGGCTAGAAAAAAGGAAAATTAAATGAGTGTTTTGATCAATACAGACCGTCTGTGGAAGCCCCAAAACGCATCTGGCTCTCAGAGGAACGTTGTGGGTGTGAGCTGAGCTGTCATAATGGCTGCAGCATCAAAGTAGCAAGGTCAGTCCAATGAGAAAGGGGCACGGTTTCAGGGCTCATGAAACTGTAGCTTAACCGCATACAGCTTTATCAGCCGGGTCAGTAATTTTAGGTAACATTAGCTGCCACCAGCTCCCAGGCAAGCTGCACCTCATTGTGGACCGCTCTCAGTATTTCAGATTCAAACTAAGATTGTGGAACTTCTGGTAGCGAAGTGTTTATGGAGCAGGGAAATGTAGCAGAGAGGCCCGGCACATAATGATGCAAAACTAATGGTGCAAAGAGCAGATATTGGTGAACTACATAATCACCACAGTGGTATGTTTTATCTAACGAAGCAGTGAACTGAAGACTGTATAACAACAGGTGTGCTTCTATCCTAAACCAAGCCAGCAGACCTGCTTTTCTAACCCACATTAATGCAGAATGCCCAACATGTTTTTCGCACTGGTCATGTGACAAGCAACAGCATCCAAATGTAACAGATGTCCCACATTTCACTGCAAACTCTAAGAGAAACTGTTTAATCAATTCTAATTTTGCTCCTTTTAATGCACCAAAGATGTGCCTGGTTTAGTCAATATTCCCATACACCTAATCTCCTCCATTAGTATTAAAAGAGCAAGCACACCCTAAATTACAGCAACAACCTTTCCATGTAAAATTTGCAGCGGAGGAATGCGGAGCAGGTTGTGAGCAAAGGTCTGTGTGAGGCGTGGCCCTGTGGCTTTGTACTGTATGATGCAGGCAGGCACATGGGGGGATGGGCTTTGGGGGTGACAAAAGACCACAAATAAATTTAAAAGGCCATTTAAAATTGAAAACTTATGAGGCGGCCTGGTGTTATAGGGGTTGGGGTGCGGACCATGAATTGCAAAGTCCCTGGTTTGTGTCTGGCCAGGGATCTTTGATGCATGATGTGGTGCATCTCTCCCCCCATGATTACCTCTCTCAATACTGATAAAAGGCATACAAATTATACTGAAATACTTTGATATCGATGAATGGAAAACATACTGAATATGTAAAACTTCAAGCTATAACTGACTGATCAAAACACACATTCTGATCTCGCTTCAGATGAAACTTGAAAGAATCAACCACGCAAAGTCATTGGAGATGTCTTCACAAATCTCCTTAAAACTTCTGCTCTTCTAATTCACTCAGTGTCGCATAGAGCTAGGTTTTTTTTATGAGGTGAACACTTCTTCCACCACATATGGACACAACTAATTTTAATGACATAATAACAACAATGGTTTATTCTATCTGTGACAAGTCAAAAAATAGTGTTGAAGAAAGAGGAAACCATGACGGTGGCTGTTGCTGTGCAAGTGGACAGCATTTTTATGTTTTCCAGTCTGTATGAACGGAGTATAAACAGTTACAGAGAGAGAATCCCAAAGAGAGAGACACAGCGATGAATATGACAGTCATGTCTGCTCGAGCGTAACAGTGATTAATTACTTAAGGTGCTTCAAAGCTTCATGGTGATTACAGCCATTTCTTATCCGAGAGAGAGATTAGGACGGCCTGGCCAGGCTTTTGTCATGGACAGAATTGGTATGCGTATTCTGAGGCTATCCTTACATTCAGTAGATAAACATGTCCAACACAGGCACACACTCAGAAGCCCACTCCCATTTTTTTCCATTAAATCTAATGGTTGATTTCAATGGTATTTCACCGTATATGATGCTAATGTGGATGCATGATGATGCATTTTGCACATATTTCGTGCCGACTGTCCTTGAATGTCGTACGCATGTGAATGAGACTTGAAGTCTCTGACGAATCACCAGCTCACACCCCAACCCCGTGGGTCCCATTTGATTAAATGTGGTGGTAAGACAATGGTATTGATCTTGCCTGGCCGAGACTCCTCTGAAGGAAGAGGTAGAAAACAAGCACACACATACATGCACACAGACTGCCATCTGTCATGGCTGTCGGCAGCCCGGCCACCATCTTCCACTGCAAATGGGGCAAAACACACAAAATAATAGACTGAGGGAGAAGGAGAGAGACAAGCAGGGAAGCAGTGCCTAGGGAGCTCATATAAACCAATGGCTATCATTTTGTTTTTGCCGGAGCCGCAGTCTCTATGCTGTTAGATTCTCGGTGTTGCCCGTGGCTCACAGATGGGACAGTCTTTTAAGATGCTGGTTGTCCATCAACTCCAGAATGTCATTACATGTGTGGCAGCTGGTGAGGAAGGTGACGCCTGTTTTTAATTAAATCCAGGAAACGTGGAGAAGATGGCATGGTAATGGAGGGAACATCATTAATAGTTGGAGACATATCTCCCTGTTGGATCAGTATGATAAACTGCGTAGGGTGAGTCAGAGATATCAAAATCAAGAACTGCTTTTATTTTCCAAGGACAACGGATGCACAAGGAAACTGACTTGGATAACTGCTGCTGAGACATAAAACTGTGATCACAAAGGAAACTTTTCTTCTCTTTTTGGTTAGTTATATTGGTTTGGTCGTGACATGTGTGGGTCTTCTGTAAAGTGTGTGTCTTTTGTTTTGGCTATGACGCATGTTGAGGAAGTTTAACAGCTAAGCTTCAGACTTGCAACACATTCTGTCAGTGTGAAAATAGTCTTTAAAAGGAGGCCTATATAGGCTACAGCTCTCGGGTGAGATGGTTGCTCTGTTTTCCTTGAATGCTAAGTTTTCCCTTTTTCTATTTAAAAAAAAACATTCAACCCACATTCTTTATATTTCCCATATTTGCTTGTTCCTGTTGAGGGTCACTAAAGCCTATACCAACACGCAACTGACATCATTTTAACATCATCTGTGTTGTTTCCAGATGCAGCAGGCACCTATTTTCAGCCGACAAGCTCTAAAAAACAACATTACACTACACTACTGCCACTGTACAGTTTGTATACTGCACAGACTGTAAAGTCCCTTGAGGGAAAATTGTGATTTGTGATATCTGCTACTAGTTGGTGAACATAGTGGAGCATTTTGCAGCTACAGAGCCAGATATTTCCCTCAGGAGTTGGCAGAGAGCAACACAGAGCGAAACAGAAAGTGAATATTGAACTTACATTCGGATGGTGGACACAAGCACGACTCTGAATGAAGGCTAATGTCTCTCCGTGCCTGCTGGATGTGTAAACAGGTTGTAGTTTACTAATATGTCCCCTACTTTGTAAGATAATATGTCAGTGTTGTGTTCACAGCTTGTTGCATTGCCCCCAAGTGGCCAGAAAACGATTTACAAATTTAACAAAGCACTTTATCTAATCACAAGAGAGAACTCACTTACAGCACCTTTAATTAATGCAGCTTTAAGGTTATCAAGCTAATGCTACTAGCTGGTAAAGGCTTGACTTACTTGTGCCTTTCAGTGACTTTAATTTAAAGCCCTCATTTGTTTTTAATCGAGCAAACAAATCCAAACAAGCCAAAAACAGCAATCCAACTTTTCTTATCCTGTTCAGTCAGAAAGTAAACTATAGCTGTGACTTTATCATAAGTCTATTAAAACAGGTGTGTCCTAAAAGAACCGCAGGAAGCCAAATCAGTTTGCATTTGATTTAGTTCTGAAACAGTGTCTGAGTGAAGTTGCAATGTGCCTGCAGTGAGCCAGGCGGGGGGGTTGAATCTTTGAAGGCGATCAGGCAAATGACGCAGTGGTGGTCAGGCATAACACACAGTAACATTCATCAAATGCCAGTGAGAGTGTAAATTATTAAGTTAACTACCTAAGAAGCAGATGGGAGCAGTTTTACATTTGGCTTGTGAGTTATAAATGATCCCATTTGAGGTGTTACATTACACACTATTGTCTCAGTTATATAATAGAGCAGCCGTGCAGAATAATTCACTTTAACCCTGAAACAAGTTATTTGGGTTAAATTTTAAAAGTATTTTAAAAATTCAATTCTGATTGTTGGAGGTTATTGAAAACGCCATAAATAAAACGTCACTACAGAAGCAGACTGACTGTAAGAACAAGGAAGCGGTGGCATTACATTATGTTTTGGAGAGAATTACAGGGTCTGCTCAATTTTGCATGTGCTGTAGCTACAGCCTTGACAGTTCAGTGAGTTTATGACTGCAGGGTTGATAGATTGAATACAGGGTTGCATGGGAAAATGTGGACAAGAGATATGAATGGAATCTCTTGTCATCTCTTTCGCAAGATGCACATGGGCCAACAAATTCATTCACTTTACTTGACCAAAAACCAGACCAGAGTCGTTGAGCATTACCTGTAAGCAATGGGCTGTACAATCTGTGTGCCTACCTGTGGCTGATCTGTGTCCCCCGTAGACTGGACATGGTCTCTTCCAGGTTCTGCCGCAGGTCAGCGATGTTCTTCACCGTCCTCATGCGTCTCGTCTCAGGATCCTCTCCTGGAGACACACATTTTGAATGATTTACCGAGATGTTTGGACCTGCATGCACACACACAGCAGTCACCTATACCCACAAAGGCTACACACGCACAAACAAACAATATGAGAAGCGACGAGGACATCTGACATACAGCATTTTATTGGATGTCACTGGATGTCTTAGTGGGGAAACAGAATGATGACCGATCACCCTGACAGCCAGCACGGGTGCACGTCCCTAAACCCAATGCTGACAATTGGGAGGCCATACAATGAATCAGCCTGTCGGGCTGCACCACATGCAGTTCTTTTCATCTAAAAAGTGGATACATTATCTTACGCAGTACTGACATTTTTTCCTTCAGGCCAGCGCAGAAATGTCGTGCCATGACACCACGGGCTCTGTCAGTTAGTTCGGGACACAGTCGGGCGAAAGCAAACTCTGTCACAGCTCCTGTGCTTCTCTGTCAGGCAAACGCTGCCACTTCAGCCCACCGTTTCCCCTACCCCGCCCTTCAGCAGCATACAGCTATGAATGCACGTCATATGTTTTATGTTCTCCTCAGTTTCCAGATGAAGCGTTTCTTTAACTCGGCCTATTCTGAAAGAGCTGCTGTTGTAAGCACAGGGTGGGCAACACTTCATAACTGCGAGCTGTGGGGGCAGACCAAAGTATCTGCTTGTCTGCTCCAATTAAGCCTCTCTTTTAGCTCGTCAAGCTAGCGTGTATCCGAAGGCGGGTACCACAGAATGGGTAATTAACAAGTGGCATGAGACGTAGAATGGATGCCGGTCACACACACGCTTTCCAGTTTTAAGGTGCTCTCAGAAGTCGCGTCTTCGTGGTAGAGATGAATGAGCCGAGATCTCATACAACAAGGTGACAATGCTGTGTGATGGTAAGATGAGTGCTCTCACTACATGCTGTTTTCAGCGCTCTGAGCAGACATACTGGCAGCAAGCTACTGTGATTACAGTGAGTGGGGCAAATGGGGGCAGATGGGAGCAGTAGTAGGTTGGAGGTTTGAAGAGGCCCCCAGCGACTCCTGCGGCGCAGCTCAGTGCCAGGAGGAGAAAAAGGGGTTGAGGTGTTTATATGCGGGAGAATGAAGCAGGTTGGGCCTGAAAATAAGCAGAAAAGCTAAGCCAATTTTACCCTGGATGACAATTTGAGAGCTGACCTCAAGGCATTTGGATAAACCTTCTAGCAAAAATGCAAAGACTGCATACATTTTATTCAAATAAAAAGCCTCGGGGTGCAAAACTGTGCTCTGCATTATGTCTCTGGCATTTCTACTCGTACGTCTTTTCCCCCATGATGAAAAAAATAATTTGATTTGAACGGACTAATACAACACTGCCAGTATGTAGCTGATCTTGCACACTGACACCAATCCTCCTGTTCTGGTGTATGCTGTGTGACAGTGCACATTGTTAGAGTCACTTTGCTCACCAGGTACAATAATTGTGCAGAAAACTGTCTTGGTGACGCTGACAATGAAATGATTCAAGTCTCCTTTTTGAAAGGGAATCTCTTCTTTTACATGGTTGTCGTAGCTGATGCAGCAATCTTGGCCATGTCTGTCCTGTAGAAAAACCTTTATAAATAAAGGTTCAATCAATGTGTCACACAAGCACATTGCACAGGGTCAAATTAACCTCATTCATTCACTTACAATAATCTTTTTAAATGCTTTAAAATGCCTGGATAATAACCTGGAAATGGAGGGACATCAAGCTAGAACCCGCAGCAGACAGGATGAGATTCACAGGTTTTTACCAATTAGAGGATTCAGTGCCGGTTGTCTTAGTCACATTGTTCAAAGCCATCACAATTCCAGAAAATTCCAAACAACACAATGTCTGTATTCGAAAAACCTTTTGCAAAATGAAGTCAAGACTTGACCTCAATCATGCTGCATCGTGCTGTGTAATGACCTCACAGGGTAAAGAGCAGTCTGGTATAATTGAGGTCATGTTTTGCCTTTGTAGAGCAAACATACCACAGGTTGTGAGGTCGAGGTAGTGCCACGTGTTCTTAACCTCTGACCCCCTGTCAGATGTCCCCTGCACTATGGCTGGCAATTAGAAATCAATGAGGCACATATGTTCTTGTTCTAAAACTTTCTAGAAAAAAAGAATACAATCACTGTGACAAACAGAGGCTTCTGTGCCCTGAATTTATTCCTGTCAGGATGGAACAAATATAAAACAGCACTGAGATGATCATGATCAAAACTATTCTTTGGAACCCCTAAGTCATTTCTCAGTTGGTTGCAGCTCCTTAAGGAAAGGAGGTCCAGTCCAAGAATTAAGTGGGAGATGAATGTTATCTGAGTTTTTCTTTCTTCGTAATCCTTCTTCTCTTTCCCACATGATCTCTGCTTCTCCTCTCACCAGGGCCCCTTCGAGAAAGATCCAATTACGACCCCATTATAAAGCGACGTGAGGAGATCTGGCCCCGGAGTCTGCATCATGGACGGACACTTCATGCAACATTAAGAAGCAGCCCGAAGCGTACGTGTGCACTTATGGTTTTTTGTGTGCGAGTGTGTGTGAGCAATTCACTGCGGTACAGTAGGTCTCACCTGCACAGTGAAGTAGAGCTTGGGCTGAATTTTGGGCAACACAACAGCACCCCACAGGCAAAACAACCCTTTACACACACACGCACACACACAC